CGGCGTCTGGTAGAGCGAAGGGATCGGTGAGTGAAGTTCACGGGATCAGTCGGCATTGTAGTAGCGATAGAAGAGTGACGAGGTCGCGACTGACCACCGGTGAGCGAGGCAATGGACTGAATTCGTGATTGGAGTGGCACTGCGAATTTGAACTTCGCCTCTCTCACCCTCACCCCTCCCGCCACCCACAAAGCAAAAGCGTTGTTGCAAAGAAAAAAGTACAATCGTCATTAATCACTCACAGAGCCATCTAAATATTTGCTTAATTTCCACGTAATATTTAACCTGGATAATCCCTCAAGGATGGAACATCGCCGTTTGTACGCGGGTTACAGGCCGAGGGTGTCATGTGACACGCGGCAGGCCGTGGCTGAACGCACAGGAGCACGCGGGCAGACCTCTTTATTGAAAAAGACGAGGAGGAGGACATCCAGTTTTTTTCTTGTTCTTTTACACTGTTGTTGAAAACAAATCTCATGGTGGTTGTCAAGGGGGCCCCCCAACTCGTAGCATAGGCCCCCTGCCCCCCCCCCCGCGCTCGTTACGCTACCGGCAATGTGCACCGACAACCACGCTCGCTCCACCGACATGGAACGACGTTTTCAAAACAACTCTCCACCACAGAGTGACCTCGAGCGGACAACGCCTCGGTCGGTCAAGAACAATCTGGATATGGGGGAGCGGTAGTGAAATGGTTAGCTCACTACACCGTGAGCCCCGTCACCTGAATTCGAATCCCAGTTTACGGCTACCATCAGTGGCGCCCAACCCCTCCGTCAACCTGCACTGAGCAGCGTGGTGAGGCATGGCCCAACAACTCCCATGTCTGACACGGCGTGGGGAGGCCTTGATCCAACAGTAGATTAACAAAGGACTATAATACGTGTGTTTAAATATGTAGCTAGGGTATAATTTGTCAGATGGTAACGCATGGGGCTGTTTTACTATCTCGCCCGGTGTGCAGGTGGTATTGGGTTCGGTCCAAATCCTGACGGCTGTATATATTTGGAGTTTGCATGGCTCTCTGTCTCTCTCTCATCCTGTGGTCGCGTGGATTTTTATCCGGGTTCTCCGAGGGTTTTCCCCCCTCCACATTTAGAATCAACATCGCGCGTTTAGATTATTTGGCTGCTGTGTATGTCCACGTGACAAGCCACGTCGTTGAGCTATACTCTGTGATGGTCAGGTCGCTTCTAAAAGAGAGCTACATAGCTCAGTGGTAAAAAATAAACAAAAGAGTTGTATAGTTGAGTTGAGCATTCACTTGTTTTATGATTTGTCGGTGACTTAGTTGTGAACATCCGATGTCTAAACGTGAATGAATAACTTCAGAGCAGAGCCATTCCATGGCTAAACGAGTCAGCCAACTGCGCTTTCGAACGACTGCACGACGCCTCCTCCACGCTGAGAGACGCTCTGCGTAACACACAAAGACAAAGCTCCCCAGACAGCCTTCGCCATGCCGTCGGGGGCAAGCGCTGCTTTGCGACCACCAATGTAGGCTGCAACCAGCGCACGAGGTTGCGTTGGAGTGGCCAGCACCACTCCCAGCCGCCTTCCCCTCCCCGGTACCGATGTTTATACATGTGCGTGTGCTGACCTTCTTTCGCACCGTACGCATCCAAACCGTGCTCATCGGAAGTGCGGGGTGACGCGTGCAAATGTGTTTGTTTGGTGGCCAACAGAGACATTCGCCGCACGAGGTGCTCGTATTAAGACCACCGATAATGTAGAGGCGAGGCCCCGGGACTGTCTGTGATGTTACTCGCCACTGACCTGAGCCGTGGTAGGCGATCGAAACCAGGTCGCTGGTGACTTCGTTCTGCTTGTTAACCCCGAACGATCCAAATACGCACAACGCACGTGCGTTTGCAACACACGAAGACAATAACATGTCCCCGTTTAATCACAGACTGTTGGGGCAATTGCTGTTCGCGAGCACCTATGAAGGCCGGCACGGTACACGAGCGGGTGGGTGGTCAGCACCACGCCGGGCCGCCTTTGTCTCCCTAGTGGCTATGTTTACACACCCTCCATCAGGTACTAATTTGAGGCTGAGTCGACCTAGGGCAGGCCTAGGACCGCTGCAGATATTTCGCCACTGTGTTTGATCGTGAGCAGGAATCGAACGTCGGTCACCAGGGTTCGTTCGCAGTGCTTTTACTACTGCGCCACCGCTCCCCATCAACACAACATCAGCCGCCATTCGCCACTCATGGGCGGTCACGTCACCTAGCCTAGTCTGTGCTAGGCTAGGTGCACTTTGAGGTCACGTGAAGTGTCGAAGGCTCGCTAACAGGAGGTCACGGCCCAGACTAAGGTGCCATGGGTTGACTGAGGTGACTGGCAGAGGCACCAGCTGTACTCTGCTAACCTTTTGCACTTTATCCACCCGGCGCTCCGCTCGTCGTTGTGAGCGTCGCTCCTCTGCCCCCCGTTGTTGTTTGAGGGCGGCTGCCTCCCACTGTCGAGTAGCGCCCTTCACGAGCCTCCTCCACAGAGGCCGATCTCGACTCCGCTGCGACCGGTCATTGGCAAGTCCACTCGGCTCCATATCTTCTCGTACCGCATTATTCCATCTCTTCTATAGCCCGTGCCGCGTCCGCTAAGCCCCCCAACCCCCCTCTTTCCGGCCAAACAAAAGCTGATGGGCATGCGGTGGCTGGGGCATGCGGGCAGCCTCGCCTACCGAACGAGCTCACCGATGGGACTGTGTTCAGACCAGTCAAGGAACGATGAGCTCTTCGCACGATCCTGCTTGCTTAAGTCCAGGGTGGATCGGAGGCAAGCCAGCCCGAATGTTTCAAAGCGATGAGGATGTTCCGCCAGAGGGGGTCCACGTTTGTATTGTACGTACGGTGGAGTTCTTGCTTCGCCGTACGTTGCCAACCGTGCCAATCGGTGGTTTTGCAAAGCGTGCACACCCACGCAACACACGCACACACGGGTCGGTGGGGGATGTGGCAATGACCTAAGGGGGGCGAGGTGATGTAATCGCCGCTAACAAAAACTAAACTAAACAAACGTTTTTATTTTATTTTACAAGGTAAAGCCCACTGAGATGTGTAGCTCTTCTTCAGAAGCGACCTGGCTGCCACAAGTTAGAGCTCAACGAAGTCGCCCATCACGTGGGAATATATAGCGGCCAAAGACTCTAAACGCGCGTTTTCAAAAGTAGGGAAAAACCGGAGGACCCGGAGAAAAATCCACTCGACTACGGGGAGAACACGCCGACTCCAAATATAAAGCAGGCGTCAGCGTTGGTATCAAACCTCCTGCATGCCAGGCGAAGTCGTTAACATCTCGCCTTCCCTGCTGCGGACCCACCACCAACGCAGCCACAACACCACATGAAGTATTGACACATTAGGCCACACACCCGACTATCAACTACCTAACCACAATACCCACCCATCACCCTACTGACACCGACCTATCAACTGTATCCTAGTCTCGTGACTTCTCGCCCGGTTCAGCAAAGGCACTCGGGCACTGCATATGACGTAATTAGCCACAAATGGCATTTTTGTGTGTGTGGAAATGCTACGCGTTTCAAGACACGTTTTAAAGAGGAGGCATGCAGTGGAATGTTTGTCCAATTCATTTGTCGTGGTGTGGGAGGAGGAGGAAACTCGAGTGAAACGAGGTCACCCGCGGTGCAAGGGGGCACATCACTGGGACATCATATCAAAGACAAAGACCCCCCGTGTAGCCTTAACAGACTGCTGGGGCAAGTGCTGTTAACGAGCACCTATGAAGGCCGACACGACACACGAGGCGGTGGGTGGCCAACAATCACCCCCGGCCGCCTTTGTCTCCCGAGTGGCGATGCTTTTGCACATCGTACTTGGTACTCATTTGAAGGTGAGTTGACCTCGGGGAGGCCCAGGTACCGATTTCTGATAATCGTCACGTGGTGTAGGTGGCCGTGAGCGGGAATCGAACTCGGGGCCGCCGGGTTCGTAGCGCAGCGCGCTAACCACCAACACTACTTTGGTGGAGATTTGGTGATTGTTGTTAATCTCGTCTGCATGGCGGCGTTGATTTTGTTTGTTGGTGCGGATGCTCTGCCCGGTGTCCTCTGACACGAGGCCAAACACTCATCACGGCACGTGGTGGCAGGATCCTCCTGCCAACGAGGCTTGACACTCTCCTGTTGAATATGAATCCCTGCAGAATATGAATCCCAGCAGTCACGAAAGCTTTAAATCGAAACTCTCTTGTTGGTTCATGAAACAAGATCATCGTGGATCGGCAGACACGGTCTCATTCCTCATACCCGTGTCTCGCTCGACTTATACCCACAACGCCGCCAATGATTGTGCTATTTATATTATAGGACTGTGTGTGTGTGTCAAACTATAACCCAGATTGTCGGCCTATAAACATCTGGCAGTTCGCCAGCAAAGATCTGCGTCGGTGTTGCCGAGGAGGAGGCGCTGTCGGCAGCTCGCGGGGCTCGTGGTTTAGCTTGGACATCAAATTTTTATGTTTTGTGGTTGCGTTTTATCCCTGTGGAGATACGGACATTTGCACGTCTGCCGGGTCATTAGAGGAAATCGTCAACTTTATGACGATCGCACGCACACCCCCCGCCACCCCGAGTGACGCAACTCACCTGTAAAATCGGAGAAACCGTTCGCGCCTTGCCCGGCCCAGACGTCATCCACTCACGCAAGGAATGCAAATGATCTCGTTCGGCGCATTCCTCGGCATCCTCCACCTCGCCAGCTCGCTCCTTCCCCACCTCTCACTTCCTCCAGCTCCACAATTCACACCTCCTCCTCCTCCTCCCTCCTTTCTTCATTCCTCGCGCGCTCTCTCTCTCTCTGCTCCTCCCCCACCCACCACCCAACTTTTCTCTCTCTCGCTCAGGTGTACGTGTGTGTGTAACGTCGGGGGGGGGGGCGGGCTGAGCCAACTCGCCTCGACTTTTAAGTCGCGCGTGGAACGAACCGTGACCGCCCCTGCATGCGACTCACGGCCGCACTCGAGCTGCGTCTGCGCTCCGTGCTGCACGCGTTGTCTCTGCGCTCGGGTTGTTGTTGTTTCCTCTGCGTCTTCACCCTCCCTCCGTCGTGTTCCCCAGCGCTCGCCGACCAACCACCCGCGCTCTCGCGCCAAACGACTCATCCCCATCGCGCGCGCGCTCCCCATTCAGCAGCGCGCTGCACAGCGAGACGAGGACGAGGCGCGCGCGCGCCCGTGCGCCCTGCGCGCGCCGTGCGCGATTGCAACGCGTGAATAACTAACGACGCGCGAAGGCCGAAGCGAACGCACTTGTAGCGGCAAAAGACTGGAGAAGAAGACCAAGAAGGTAAACATCTGGGGGTGGGTCAGGGGGTGGAGAGTTGTTATTTCTATTAAACACACATTGCTTTTTGGGGAGAATGCTTCGATTGTTGGATTTGTTGCGGCTGTTGTTGGTTGTGAATGTTGTATGTTGAACTTCTTTCGCGTCGTACGTAGCCAACCGCGCTAATCGGGAGGTGCGGGGGAAGGACAACAAACTAAACACAGAAAGCAGTTCTACAGAAACGAATTTTCAATCGAGATGATTTAAAAGTGCACAGCTTCAGTGGCTCCCTAATATCGGAAGGAAGAGCGTTCCAGACGGCCGCAGGAGCGCATCTGAAAGCCCGCGATGCGGTGACCACCGCCTTTGTTCGATGGCTGAGCTAAAATCCGCGGCCGCTGCTTCTGCTGTGTGGACAACCGGAGTCCGCATCATGTTTATGGCTCCTTGACGAGATCAGCGAGGTGTTGTGGTTCATTTGTGGCAAGCACTTTGCTAAATGGTGATGATAAAGGAAAAATAGAAGTGATTGCCTATCAAGGAGATATGATTACCGAGTTGTCAACACCCTTTCTCGGGAGGGTCCTAACTACTTATGGTCGTGATTGGTGAGTTTGAAATCGGGAACAGATAACTTTTACCGCACTGCCAGTGCTGCGAAGATTACAATAAGCCACCACGTGCTGCCTTAATAACAACGTTCAACATAGACGCAGTACGTGATAAAGCGTTTCGACAGTGTCGGCAAGTGGGCCGTGTGGCATACATCCCTTCTGTACGGGATAGAGTGTTGCCCCATCGCACGCACGTGTTTTCACCCACATGTAAGCACTCGTTTATCAGCCGCTAACACCTTATATTATGATAACCGCAGAACTTTGGGTGGTGGTGGTGTTCCTCCTCCTCCTGTCTGGCGTTGTTGAGTCGTCTTCCCCATCAATAGCGCGTTCAGCTGTTGCCGTTTTAATGTCCCTCTGCGGACGGCTGGGACACGCGGGTTAGGATGATTGGAGGCGCTGTAACTTTGTGAGAGAAATTCGGATTTGCCATCGACGTCAACGAGCAAGTTTTGTAAGATAATCGTATTGTCTCTGTCCCCAGTGAAACGGAGAAGAAATATAAGTTTAAGACGTTGACTTTCGCGACCAAAGTTAGCCATAAGCGGTGTTAAGTGAGGTCGCGTAAATATGAATGTGTCGTTAAACCCGCCACCACCCGACACAGCCAATTAGTGAGGTTTGTCACGCGAACAAAACGTGCAATTGTGTTACTAGCTCAGCACACCGGTGTGTTGGAGAGTAAACCCAGAGTAATTACTCCAGCAATATTCTTCTGTGTTCAATTATTCACGACAATAATTTCCATTGAAATATATTACAATTCATAATATAAATCATCATCATCAGCAGCCATGGTCAATCCCCTATTGATCAATGCCTTCCTTCCTGAAGATATTTCGTGTCTTGCCGCATGTACTTCTGGAAGGATGCAAACAATCCAAACAACAGCACGAATACGTATATTACAAATATGTATATTTCCGAGACTAGATTCAACTGTAAAATTATAAATGTTTTACACAGTTTGCATCTCTCTCTTTCTCTCCCCCCGTGGTCGCGTGGATTTTTCTCCGGGTCCTCCACGTTTTTTCCTCCGCATTTGGAATCGAGATCACGCGTTCAGAGTATTTGGTGGCTCTATACAACTTCCACGTAATGGTGACAAGCCACTTCTTTGAGCCATCATTTGTGGCCGGGTCGGTAATGAAAAAGAGTTATACATCTGAGCGGGGCCTTACCTGTAACAAAGAAATAGGTTAGTAGTTTAATAGTTGTGAACATGGCAACAGGCGGCTACTGGACGCGACAAGAACGTTTCCGCGTGACTGCCCGAATTGCTTTATTTTTATGATCCTTGCTACCGTCTCTCCTCCACTCGTAAAAGTAAACTCGTGTGAACGCTACACGCCGTTTTAGCAACATCTCGTAAAAAAACCGCATTCGGCGCTACAGCCCTGCAACTGCGTTTTGCCTTCAGACTCAGAATGTCTACTTAGACTGGAGAAACCCGATGTGAAGACCCTCGGCTTACGGATCGTCAGGGATATTTATGTATGTCGAGTCCATGGGCCAGAGGAGCAGTGATTGGTACCGCCTAATGTTAGTCGTTATTTGCACCGTGTTATCTACACGGCCAATAAGGGTGAGTAAGTGGATAACCCTACTCGCGTTAAGTGGTTGTCACGCAATGAATTCCCTGCGATTAGCCGCACAGAGAAGTGGGAGCCGCTAAAGTGATGCCACTTCAAGTCGTACCGACGCGTTAATTTCAATGCCTGCCCCGGGCTCGTGGGCTAAACAGCATGAAGGTGATGTTGACGAGACGTTAACTACCTCGCCTGGTATACAGGGGGCCGTGGGTACGATCTCTATCCTGACGCCGGCTGTATATTTGGAGTGTGCGTGTCTCTCTCTCTCCGTGGTCGCGTGGCATTTTCTCCCTGTCTTCCGGTTTTTCCCCTCCACATTTAGAATCAACATCGCGCATTGTTTTAGTATTTGGCTGCTTTACGATTCCGCATGATGATAAGCCACTTCGTTGAGATAGAATTTGTGATCGGCAGGTGGCTTCAGAAAGAGAGCTACATAGATTTCGATTTAAAGCTTTCGTGACTGCAGCGATTCATTTTCTTGGTTCTTTCATTAAAGTCACGTAGAAGGGAAATAATAAAATAATAAAAATAAAACATAATAAAATACAATTCTCACGACGTTTCTGCCACAACGCAAGCAGCCGTCCTCAGGTGAAGAACAGAATTGTATTTTATTGTTTATTTTTATTACTTTATTATTTCCTTTCTACGTGACTTTACCTAAAGAAGCAAGAAGAGCTACATAGCTTCAGGTGGGCCTTACCTGGTACAATAAAAAACAAAGTTAAATACTTGTGTTAGGGCACGAACTTCATTTCAGGGCTCATCGGTGATCCAAAGCCCAGCTGCATCCCTGCCACGGGGTCCTTCTTTGTTCGGACCACATGCAACGCGTGACGAGACGATGCGGCGGTAAAACCAAGCCTCGCCATAACTCAAGCGTCAACGCTGACAAGCCGATCGCTTCAAGGGCCGACGCGAATCTTTACGTGAGGCGGAGAGGCGTCGTTACTCGCAAGAAGTCCCCCGTAGCATTACCCCCCAACCCCTCTCCGCCTTATCCAATGTTGTGCCACGCATCTTTAGATCACCTGCATTGCCGCATTATGCGGATCACAAGGCGCACTTTTCAAAGGATGCATTCTCAAGCAAAAAATTGCGGGGTGCTTCTTCCGGTAGGAGTGTGTGTGTGTGTCTGTGGTATAGGCCACATTTGTATATCCTTCTAAGCATTGAACACATGCGTGGCGTGTGTCTTACTTTCCGAAGTGTCCCCTATAATCCGGAGAATACGGCAGTAACATTCTGAGCAGTCATCGTGGTAATGATGAGCACGGTATCCATGTCTATGTGACAGGTAAGTAGGGAGAGATTTCCTCCAGCAGTGTATAGATCATGGCTGATGATGACCGTCGTTATCGTCGTCATGGTGATGAGCTTAATGTGTGTAGTTCCTGAATCAAAGAAAGTTGTGCGGTTACCAAACTCCCCATCGCTTGCGTAATAAGCATTTGCATTTCAGTTACAACGGGAAAATCTAAATACCGTGGTCAGCAGATGTCAAGTGGCAATGGCCATCTTCTTGCTCCCCCTACTCTGCGCATTCCCTCCCAGCAACGTCCTTGGAGGTGCCGCTGCCGTCTGGGAGCTGAGGGTGACCTCGTAGCTCAACCTTATCACCTGAAACAAAATGAAGTGTCAGTTCGAGTCAAGTCTAAGGTCAAAGCGATGTCCCGCCCAAATGAGCCTCGAGGCATTGTGGTGGTCATCTATTTACAAGGCATGCAGAGCTAGTCGTGGAAATTCCACGTTCCTATGGCGGGAGAGTGATTGGCACTGGCATGAGCAGGTCGGTGAACAGCACCACGACCGGCCGCCTTTATCTCCTTCGTGGCGATGTTTACACACCGCTTCACAGGTACTCATTTTTAGGCTGAGTCGACCTGGGTCGAGTCCGGATTGCAAGTCCAGTGTTGCTCAACGTTTTTTTTCCGGAGTTCGGCCCCGGGACAACTCCCAGCTGAAATAAAGCCACCGGGGCTCTTTAATAACGCGGTCACGTTTCACGATCCACGCGCCGCTGGCGTGAAACGGGAATCGCGCCCAACTCGCATGGGCGGCGTCACCAAAACGCGAAATCCTCTCCGCCTATAGAGCCCTCCCTGACCACAGCGAAGCGACTCTCGCTATGATCACTCTCACAGCCACAGACGTTCTCCGCATCGGTGGGTCGGGTGTAGGTCACGTTGGTGGGTTGGGTGCAGGTCATTGCTTTATTTTGGTGATTTCGAAAAGTTTACTGGTTTGGCCATGTTTGTTTTTTGTAGTACGGAGTAAGACTGATGGCCTTAATGTAAGTTGTCTTGTGGTTGTTGTTGTTTGACTTGCATCCCACTGGGATTTTTGCACACAGCGTTGGTGTATGGTGTTTTTCTGCAATATTTTGCTGTCTTTTCTTGGATTTTCTGTTTGCACTTAGTCACATATTCACTTTAAGATGTTTTCTTGTTCATGTTTTTGTTTTTTGTTTGTTGCGGTTGCACCCGATTCAAGAGTCGAATGGCTCACAGGGCTTGTACCTAATACTTGAACTTGAACTTGAAGGTCACGTCGATGGGTCGGGGTCGCTGTTGAATCGGGTCGGGTCGATCACTCAATCGGTGTCTCGCTGAAGCAGGCGGGCCGCGTGTGTTTGCGCTCTCGCGTTAAGCAAACTCCGATTTCGCGTGCGCAGGGCTCGCTCGCCGACAGGCGAAGGTGCGCAGTGACGATGCCGCACGGCGTGGAACAGCAGCAGCAACAGCAGCAGCAGCTGCAACAGCAGCAGCAGCTGCAGCTGCAGCAGCAGCAGACGACGACCATGACGGAATCCTCGGACTCTTCTTTTAACCTGGGTAGAAGAAATTCTGGCCGACTTTTCGGGTGAGTCTACGTGTGTTTGTGTTTCCACAACAACGACAGTGAACATCTGTTGGTCGTGCTTTCTACGAGGTAAGGGATATCGAGATTCTCTGCCACGTTGACGGGTCGTGCCGCGTGTTGGTCGGCACGATGATGCCCGACGTTTCATCCCACGTGCCGAGAACCTCTTCGGGGATCGAGAAAGAACCACGTGGCTGCGAGTTGCTCGAGGAGCCGAATCAGAACTGAACAATTCAGAGCTGAACAGACACCACCGTGATGCCCTACGCAGAATAATTATATATCATCATCGTCATCATCATCGTCATTCGTGCTCTATCCACCGCTGGATCAATAATCTCCCAAACTTACGCCATCTTTCATCGTCGATCTTTAGGCAAAACTCCGTCTCGCTCCTACACGTGGGCCGATTGATTAAATCGCGATGGTGTCGCTCCATCTCCGCGGTGGAGTTTCCCTCCGGGTGGTCAATTGCTTGTCACGAAGTTAAATGTGCTGTGTGCTATTGACGTGTACGATTGTGATGTAATACCCTGTCGCAAGATGAGACCTCCGCGAATTTGAACCCAGACGTTCCTAGCAACTGCAACCTTTGTTCCAATGATCTTTCGCCTCGTTCTAAAGAGTATCGTGGCTTGATTGATTGATTGGGTGGCTGGATGATTGATAGGGGTTTCTAGTCGTAATATATTTCCGATTTTCCAAATAGCTGTAATAGCTGTATACCCGGATAACCCAGAGGTCACAAAGGTCACCAGCCGCTCCTTCGTGAGCCACCCCGTAACGCCGGAGTTGGGAGGGCCGGCGGTGGGGGCTGACGGCTGTCTGCTACCGTACTGCGCATGCGCGACCAATGGAGAGGGGAGTGTGCGAGTCCGGGAGGGGAGGGGGCTGGCTGGATTGGCAACTGAACGGCACGGAGGAGTGTCTGACCGTCCGAGTTTGTAAACTGTGAAGATTCCGCGGCGCACGGCTTGCGAAGTACCGACTCAGTGAGCCGCTCATCTTTGAATGCATCACTGTGACCCTTATCAGTGAGACCCGCATCAGTGACCCTCATAAATCTGATCCTCATCAGTGACCCTCATCAATGTGATCCTCATCAGTGACCCTCATCAGCGAGCCGCTCATCAGCGAGCCGCTTCTCACGGAGCCGCAGGCGGATGATGTTGTCCGCAAGGTTGCGTAGAAACAAATTTGCTTGTAGCAGTTGCGCGTGGGAGTGACCACGCGGCACGAGCCCGAGCCGCACAGCCCACGGCAGTGATTGACAACAACAACAACATCAACAACAACAACAGCAGTACCAGCAACAACAACAACAGCAGTACCATAGGCGACTGCCCGGCGTGTTTGATTCGCAGCTCACATGGCGTACGAAGCGGCGCACATGGCCCATTCGCAGCCCTGAGCCATCGTAGTGGAAAGTTATGTGCCGCCGACCTGCCCGCAAAATGGTACCCTTGTTGTTTTAGAACCCCCAGGAAGGATGATGGGCTGAGTTGGCCCCGCAAACCTTTCTGATTTCCGAGCCGCTCGCTCTACCGAACTGCGAAGGATTCGTACATTTGCTCGAAGGTCCACCTCTAAATCATTGCGCGATATCTCAAGGACCTCTTCCTTCATCCTCCTCCCTTCTGCTCCTCAAACCTCCGCCTCCCCCTCTCTCCTGCCCCCTCCTCTTCCCCCCCTCCCCTCCTCCTCCTCCTCCTCCTCCTCCTCCACCTGTTCCCCCCCTCCTCCTCCCCCTTCCTCCTCCTCCCCCTCCTCCTCCCCCCTCCTCCTCCCGCTTCCTCCCCATCCTCCCCCTCCTCCTCCCCCTCCTCCTCCCCCTCCTCCTCCCCCTCCTCCCCCTCCTCTCGTCGTCGTGATAGGCGGCACAACATCGGCAAATTCGCAGGGCAGCCCACCGCGGCGCGTTGAAACGCGAGCTGCCCGCCTCGCCTCGCCTCGGGGTGTCTGGCGGATCTGTAGCCAGGACTTAGACACACAAAAAGAGAAGCTCGCGGCTAAATTATTTACATTAATCCCCCCCTCCCCCCCCCCCCCCCCAAGGTGTTTGAGAACGAAAGTGCTGGCAAACGAATTCATTAAAAGTATGTATTCTGGGAACCCCTAAGCAAATATGTACGTTGAACTTCTTTGGCGCCGTACGTATCCTCTAATCGGAGGTGCGGTAAGGAAGGACAACACACTAAACGCAAAAAGCGGTTGTGCAAGCAATCGAGATGACGATTTTTTTTAAAAACAAAGTACACAGCTCCCAGTGGCTTCCAATAGCGATCACGTCTTCCTCGGTTGCCCCTGTGTGCTCGGCCTCGATGTGACAACGAGACGACCCCGTGGCCATGCAGCTGCCCGTGGCATCTCCAAGTGCGGCAGTGGCGCGGCGTCTCGGCGTGCCCGTGGCTCCAGGTCAAAGGGTCACAATCACCGCCGCATTGCTCACCGCATTTCTCGCCACGCGCCCGGGAATTTACACGCAATGTTCGGTGACGCTGTTGCTGCTGTTCCGTTGGAAGTGGCGCACAAAAATATAATTTGCAAAAAAAAAAAATACTAGTCCCATTTGTAAAGAACGCTTCCTTAAAAAAATAACGTAACTCAACTATATTGTTCACCGGTTGAAACCCACTGAACTGGTTAGCTCGTTTTCAGAGGCGATCTGGCCACGCGTGTCGATGTCTTATCGAAGCGGCTGAAATCGTCATCACAAGTGGGGATTTTATAGTCGCGGGCAAATCATCTGGAGGCGCGTTGTTTTAAAACAAATGTGGAAGAGGGAGGGAAAAACGAGAGGAACCCCGGAGAAAAATCCGCGCGACCACCACGGGCACAGAGAGAGAGAGAGGGAAAAAACCACGCAAACTCTAACTGAAAATATACAACAATAGGCATCGCCAGGGTTCGGGATCGAAGCCACGGACCTTCTGCGTAGCAGGTGAGGGAGGCAGATGACGCTTTGGGCAATAGCCCTTCTTCAGGGAAGACGTAAAAAACACAAGGCCCATTGCTCGGAATGTCACCTCTTCTATGCTTTCTTGTAAGGTCCACGGGCAGTGCCATTGGTGAGTGGGTAGAGGTTTACGCAATAATTATACGCCTAGCAAGAGAAGAGGCGAGTGTTGTTGTTGTTGTACCAGCGGGGAACATGCGGTTGTCATAGGAAACCGACGACGCCGCTTGCTGCTACCCTGTTTGAGGGGTCAGGGGTCAGGTTGACCGTCAGCAGGCCAGACCGGGGGGGGGGTCAGCAATGAACGAGCCTCGACTCGTCTCCCTCCGCAGCCAGCGTCCACACCCTCCCTCCTCACCACGGATTTCTAAGAGGTCAACACGAGGCGCTTGTCCAAGCGAGCGCGGGGGGGGGGGGGGGGGTCTGTGTAGGCAGGCAGAGGGCGTAAGGGGGGAGAGTCGGGGGCGCTCAGCTCGACTTGCACAACCGCGCGCGTTTGTGCGTGAGAGAGAGAGAGTCGCGGATGGGGAGGCGCCTTCAATACACAGCGCGGGCATGGAAACGACTTTGACCCCTGCGAGGTCGCCCGCTAGAAGACGCCGTGGATGTCCATGGGAAACAGCCGGGGCCAAGCATCCTTCGTGTTGTGCGATCGCGGGCCTCCCTTTGTGGGCGCCCCGGGGGAGGAGGGAGGGTGGGGTGGTTGGTTGTGTGCGGACCGCCGGGCGGCTAAAACGCAGTAAGCTGGCACAGTAGGGAGGGAGGGGGGCACAGGTAAGTTGCATCGGCCGGTCATCTCGGTCGGTCAAACCATGGCACCAGCTGGGTCTGTCCCGTGACATCCTGCCCGCGGGCGTTCGACACTTCACGTGGCCTTAAAGTGCACTTAGCCTGGCACAAGCGCCGTGGTGACGTCACCGCCACTTAGAGCGACCCCCCCCCCCCATCTCATCTTCTGGAACTTGACCTCCAGCGCCGCGCGAGGTACTCTGATCCTCCTCCTCCTCATCCTATGTGCGCGGCGCTGCTACTGCTGCTATCGGCCCACGGAAGTTGTGTGCGCGCGAATGTGCTGAGTTGGTGCGTGTAGCGCACGGGGAGCGGTAGCGTGGCCGCTTAGCGCGCTGCGATATGAACCCGGCGACCCGAGTTCGATTCGCGCTCGCGGCCAACAATCGGTGGCAAATCGTGCTGCTGCTGCTGGTCGTGGTGGTGTTAATGAAAAAAAGTGGGGAGCGGTGGTGTCGCGGTTAGCGCGCTGCCTTACTAACCAGGCGACCCGAGTTCGATTCCCTCTCAAGGCCACCAACACCGGTGACGATTAATCTAAATCGGTCCTGGGCCTCCCCTAGGTCGACTCGGCCTCAAATGAGTACCTGGTGTGGTGTGTAGTAAACATGGCCACTGGGGAGGCAAAGACGGCTCGGTCATGGTGCTGGCCACCCACCTCCTCGTGTGCCGTGCCGGCCTGCTCGCGAACAGCACTTGCCTCAAAAGTCTGTTAACGTCTAATGTCTCGTGCAGCCCGGTGTGGCGATCCACGCTGGGATGGCTGCATGAGGGGGGTTCACCCATGCCGGGTGTCTGCGTTGTGGCAGCTTTTGCGGCACACTTCATCACACACACACACTTGCTGACGCACGTGGTGCGTTAGCGAGGTGACGATTCATCGCCACCCTCCCCACACACCCCATGAATTGTCACGATTTAGGCTGTCGCGATTTGATTCAAGAGGTCCATTTTGCGTGGTTGCGACCGCCCCGTTTTGCATCGTTGGCGTCTCTCGCGAGGACATTTGTATTCGCCTCGTAGCGACATTGAAATCTCAACAACGGGAACCTAACGGCGTACAAGTGTTGCTGTAACATTGTCAATCGTCGATTCTTACGTGCAAACAAAGAAAACGCTACACGGGTATCGTGAGCATAAGATTGCATTTTAATTGTCCGAATTCGATGAATCATCACGTGCCTGCCTGCCGATCTCGTGTCAACGATGTCCGTGGCATCGGCAGATTTAGTTTATTTGCCTACAACTTGACGATGACTCGGTAAAGTCGAAGCTGGTGAGGGAGGTTGCCTTGTTTGAATTAGCAGTCGCCCCTCGACTGCTGTGATCTGTGCAGCCGTTAATCGATCAACTTTAGAAGTGACAGGACATTCGACGCCCATGGGGGGATTGTGACAGACCGCGCGAGTGATACACTCACACACACACAGCGCGCGCGCGCGTAACAATGACGTTCTAGAAGGGCTAAAGACGGCTGAAACTTGGCACGAACAAAATCAAGTCTACGTTTCAACACCAACACCACCGCCATCGTCGTCGTCTTCATCCCTCCCACTCTGCTATTTCCCGGCACATGAGCCCTTCCAGACAACGGGGCCCCGATGTAGTTTGCACGGCCTGCCCACTCGGTGCGCTGCGTTCACGACTCCCACTACTCCTACGTGAGCATATTGGCACAGGAGAGAGAGAGAGAGAGAGGCAGAGGGAGAGGAAATTGGTAACAAAATGCGCGATGTGCAGTGGACACCTGCGGGCTGTCTGCCCATGGATCGTGACGACGATGATGATCACCACTCCCACCGGGAGAGTTGCAGCGCCTGCACACTCCGTCGTTGGCTACGCAACCACCGAGACCCGACTACAGTCGACCTCGACTACAGTCGACCTCAACTACAGGCGACCCCCACTACAGGCGACCTCGACTACAGGCGACCTCAACTACAGGCGACCTCAACTACAGGCGACCTCGACTACAGGCGACCCCCACTACAGTCGACCCTGACTACAGGCGACCTCGACTACAGGCGACCTCGACTACAGGCGACCTCGACTACAGGCGACCCCCACTACAGTCGACCCTGACTACAGGCGACCCCCACTACAGTCGACCTCAACTACAGGCGACCTCGACTACAGGCGACCTCGACTACAGGCGACCTCAACTACAGGCGACCTCAACTACAGGCGACCCCCACTACAGTCGACCTCGACTACAGGCGACCTCGACTACAGGCGACCTCACCTACAGTCGACCTCAACTACAGGCGACCCTGACTACAGGCGACCCTGACTACAGTCGACCTCAACTACAGACGACCTCAACCACAGTCGACCCCCACTACAGTCGACCTCGACTACAGGCGACCTCGACTACAGGCGACTTCAACCACAGTCGACTCCCACTACAGGCGACCTCAACCACAGTCGACCTCAACTACAGGCGACTTCAACCACAGTCGACCCTGGCTACAGGCGACCTCAACAACAGTCGACCTCAACTACAGGCGACTTCAACCACAGTCGACCCTGACTACAGGCGACCTCAACAACAGTCGACCTCAACTACAGGCGACTTCAACCACAGTCGACCCTGGCTACAGGCGACCTCAACTACAGGCGACCTCAACCACAGTCGACCCTGGCTACAGGCGACCTCAACAACAGGCGACCTCAACTACAGACGACCCTGACTACAGGCGACCCTGACTACAGGCGACCTCAACAACAGGCGACCTCAACTACAGACGACCCTGACTACAGGCGACTTCAACCACAGTCGACCCTGACTACAGGCGACCTCAACAACAGTCGACCTCAACTACAGGCGACTTCAACCACAGTCGACCCTGACTACAGGCGACCTCAACAACAGTCGACCTCAACTACAGGCGACTTCAACCACAGTCGACCCTGACTACAGGCGACCTCAACAACAGGCGACCTCAACTACAGACGCCGAGTCACTTCTGGGCGTTGGCTCCGAGCTCTCGCGCCGCGGCCGCCTCTCAGCTGCCACCCGTCACACGTCACCCGCGTCCTGCGTGCGCTTCTTTTATTTTGCCGCATCAGCACCAACATCGAAACCCCACAACAAGCGCCGCTCACGGGCATCGCCGCGGCTGCTGCGAGGTGGAGGGGTGGGGGGGTGGGGGCAGGGGGGTGGGGTCAGGGGGTGGGGGGGGCAGGGGGGGCAGGGGGGTGGGGGCAGGGGGGTGGGGTCAGGGGGTGGGGGGGGGGGCAGGGGGGCGACGGGGGGCGGGGATCGCGACGTGATCCGTTCCGCTGCCGCTAACCCCCCCGGGGCAGGTGGTGGCGGTGGCGGTGATTAAAGAGCAGCGCAGGGCTACCTGCTGCGCCCGTCGGGAGGGAGGGGCGGCAGGGGGGGGAGCGAGGGGGGGGCAGGGGGGAGGGGTGTCGAGGGGGGGGGGGGGCTCGCCCACCGCTCGCTCGGGGTTTGTGACGCTCGCGAAAAGCCGGAGACGAGCTCTGCGCACAACGGCGTGCGGACGTTCCAAGCCAAAACCACTGAAACATAAACCACTTGTACGTTTCCAGGTAAGGCCCCGCTGAGCTGCATGGCTCTTTGTCAGAAGCGACCTCTGGTCTCACGAATGATGAGCTCGACGAGGTGGGCTTTCCGCGTGGAAATGTAGCAGCAGCCGAATAATCTAAACGCGCGATGTTGATGCTAAATGTGGAGGGAAAAAACGGAGAAGAATCCACGCTACCACGGGGAGAGAGACAGAGACGTGCAAACTCCAACTATACAGTTTAACACGTAGGCTTTCGCGACCAATATGTAGATCGTCTAAACATAAGCAGGCGTCAGGGTCGGGATCGAACCCACGCCCTCCTGCATACCAGGCGAGGTAGTTAACATCTCCTAGCCGCCGTGGCGCTCGAACAAAACAAATCCCATCTCAGATCAAAGCACGGAAGCGACTCTCGTGGGCAACCCCCCCACGCCACCCCACCCCACCCCACCCCACGCCACCACTGCCCGGACGGAAACGGAGCAACGCGCGCGGCTCGGCCGAGTCGGCACGGAGCGATCAGAGTCGCGGCGCTGATCCGGTCACCGCCATCCTCCACGAGCGGCGTGCGGTGGCGGCGGCGACTCGAGGCGGGAGGGCCAGCTCGGAATGTGACTGCGGTCGTCCCCAGCCAACGCCGTGAGAGATGGAGCGATGACATCGGCTCCCGTGCAGGAGCGAGAATCGTTACATCGCAAGGGCCGTGGGAGGTGATGGCGACTTGGAAACGCCTTCGTCCACCAGTGGATGGATGATGACGGTGACGATGATGATCATCATCACCGCCACCACCGCCACCACCATCATCATCGTCGCAAATCCACTCGTCCCTTCTCATATTACTGCCGCATTTCGGCGAAACTGTAAGCGAACGAAGCGGCGTTATAGATATTTTTTATGTACATTTTTGAATTTTCCATATCGGGTGTCCGTCTCAGTGGACTCTTACCTGGCTATGAATAGCGCCGTGACCTTTATTCAAAACCAGCTGAGAGAGCGCGCGCGCGCGCGTGCTTACGAGCAGAGCACCTGCGGAATGTCCCCCGTCCCGTCAGACCTGGGAAGCTAAGCGGGTTGTGAGCCTGGTCCAAGTGCTTCTTGAACAGGTTTGCTATGTTTATGACTTGAAAATATCGTGACTGCAGGAATTTATATTATTTGGATCTTTTGGTAAAGTCACGTAGAAAGAAAAAATAAATAAAAAGTAAAGAATTTTTTTTAAATAAAAGAAAAAATAAAATAAAAATAATATAAAAACAAAAAAAACCACGATGTTTGGATCGCTTGTGTTGCGATCCAAACGTCGTGTTTTTATTTTATTTTTATTCTATCGCCGTGACTTTACCGAAAGAACCAAACAACAGGTTTGCTGTAGGCTGCTTTCGGGGGTGCTGGGCGGCGATGGGTGGGGGAGACAAATCAGAAAAACAATCACACATTATTGGCCTGTACTTCTACGCTGCCGAGGTGTAACGCTCACCTTCGCCAACCCACACACCTCGCAGGGTCTTTACCGTCCACGGTACCGATGGGGTGGATAGGCGGCGGCTCTCGTTGACACGGGAAGCGCCAAGGGGCTGCGATGGGAGTGGATCTGTGCGGCTGGCTGGGCTGCGAGCCGGCGGACGGTTCGAGACTCGTGGCGAGATTCCCAGGGGCGGGCGATGGTCACGGCGCGGATGGAAATTGAGATTCGGACCGTTGCATCGCGGAACCGAGAGAGGCCGCGACGGGATAGGGGGGAGGCCTTCATCCAGCGGCGGATTGATCATGGTTGATGATGATCATGATGCTTTGTGTTTTTAAATAAAAAAATAAATCATTGCAGAGGTTAAGAATAACAAAAAATGGAAATATTATTAATCATATTTCGATTTAAAGCTTTCGTGACTGCAGGGATTCGTCTTCTTGGTTCTATCGGTAAAGTCACGTAGAAGGGAAATAATAAAAGAATAAAAAAAAACATAATAAAATACAATTCTCACGACGTTTCGGCCACAACGCAAGCAGCCGTCCTCAGGTGAAGAACAGGTCTGTCGGAAGGACAGCGTCTGAACGACTCTCATTAATAATCAGTAATTCAGAATGTGAATGTTGTCGGTCTCCGATTTCAGGAAGTCAAGGAACGTGGACAACGCGGACTCGGATGATGGACTGAGCCCCACGAGCAGCGCCATGATGGTACACACTCGCTCCGTCTCTCTCGCTCTCTGTCCATCACTCTCCGCGTCTGTCCATCGCGCGTTCGCTCTCTCTCTTTCTGTCTCTCTGTATCTTCCCATTGGTCTCTCTCGCATTCTTTCTCTGTGCGTGTCTCTCTCTCTCTCCCTCTATTATCTGTACCTTTATGTCTCTCAACGTCACATCCATCACAATCTCTTCACTGCACGATGCACAGCCGTTTTGTTACGCATAAATACAAATACAAAGATCCCCCGTGTAGCCTTAGTAGACTGTTGGGGCAAGTGCTGTTAGCGAGCACCTATAAAAGCCGGCACGGCACACGAAGGGGTGGGTAGCCGCTACCGCGTCCGGCCGCCTTTGTCTCCCCAGTGGCGATGTTTACACACCGCACCATGTACTCATTTTAGGCTGAGTCGACCTAGGGGAGGCCCAGTACTGGATCAGATAATCGTCACTGATGGTGGCCATGAGTGGGAATTGAATCCGGATCGCCGGGTTCGTAGCGCAGCGTGCTAACCGCGACACTAACGCTCCCCACTTCGTTGTATATGTATGCACATTTATACACACGTACAGATATGCATTGTGTCAAAGTGTCTCATAGAGAAACAAGAAACACAACCAGACACGGTTGAACACCACTAGAATGACTATTCCAGGCACTGGTTCATATCTCGTCCGGCGGAATGGCGACAAAAACGTCACATAGCGGGCAAGCGCCTGGAGGAGCTACCGTGGCATTCCGTCTGCCCACCCACTCCCCCAAGGGGGCACCTAGCCTGGCACGGAGCCCTGCCTGGCGACGAGGCTCGCACAGCGAGACCCCGGCACGCGGTCGGCCTTTACCGCAACGCATCGCGACACGGTGGCTAAGAGATGTTGACTCCCTCGCCTGGTACGCAGGAGGTCGTTGGTTCGATCCCGACCCCGATGCCTGCTGCTGTATATTTGGAGTTTGCGTCTCTCTCTCTCCCAGTGATCGCGTGGATTTTTCTCCGAGACCTCCGTGTTTCCCCTCGCAGATTTAGAATCGACGTGACGCGTTCAGAGTATTTGGCTGCTTTCAAATATCAACGCGATCATAAACCACTTCGTTGAGCTGTCATTTGTGAAAGCCATGGTCCTTTCTGAAACAGAGCGAAACAGTAGCTCAGAGACCCTTGCTTGGTAAAAAATAAATAGATATAGTGTTTTATAGTGTCATACCCCTGGTGTGGTGTGCTCTGTGTACGTGTGTGTTGTTTCTTTCTGCAGTCGCTCAAGAAGCAGGAGTCGCAATACCACAAACTGTTCCCCAGCATCCCCCAGCAGGAGCTACTTCTCGAGAGTAGGTTCCTTCCTTGCGGGGGGGGGGGGCACGGGGGGGGGGGACGGGGGGGGCACGGGGGGGGGGGGCACGAGGGGCTGGGGTTGTTGTTAAACCGGGCTAGGAGGAAATGTGCTGAGCAAGAGCGGTTCGTGATGTTTTAAGTCGAAAGAAAAAGAATCTGCAGCCGAGGAGCCGTAGCCGAGGAGCCGTAGCCGAGGAGACGGGAGACGACTTCCATTTGAAGACGCGAAGTAGTGAAACGCGCGGTTCGAATCCCTGGCTCAGATTGGCGGAAGGAAGTGATGGCGAGGCGTGGTGGTGATGGTGACGGTGACTGTAGTGGCGATGGTGACGGTGGTGATGGTGGTGGTGGCGACGGTGTTGGCGGTGGTGGTGGCGGTGGTGACGATGGTGGTGGTAACGATGGTGGTGGTGACGGTGGTGGCGGTGACGGTGGTGGTGACGGTGGTGGTGGTGACGGTGGTAATGACGATGGTGGTGGTGACGATGGTGATGGTGACGGTGGTGGTGACGGTGGTGATGACGATGGTGGTGGTGACGATGGTGATGGTGATGATGGTGGACTATCAACAGCATCGATCATTGTCCGTTGGGACCGCTTGTCTGACCTTGACCCTCATCTGACCCCCGGGTTCCCCATGTGCTCGCCCATGTAGCGTATAGCTGTGCTCTCAAGAAGGACTTCCTGTACCACGGCAAGATGTTCATCTCGCAGAACTGGATCTGTTTCCACTCTCGCATCATCCACAAACAGCTGCAGGTGAGGACGACTTTAAAAGTAAACTTTTGTTTATTTTATTATTTTACCAGACGATCACAAATGGCAGCCCAAAGAGTTTGTTCATCATCATCATCACCATCCTGTGGACATTTATCACAGCAGCCAAATAAACGCGTGGTGATGTTGATTCGAAATGGGGAGGGATAAACCGGAGGACCCGGGGAAAAATCCACGCGACCACGTGGAGAATGCGCAAACTCTGAATATACAGCAGACGTCAGGGTCGGGATCGAACTCAGACCTCCTACGAACCAGGCGAGGGAGTTGACATCTCATAGCCACCACGACGCTCCGTGCCCTGTGGTCGTGGAGGAGGAGGAGGAGGAGGACCCTGAATATTCAGGGCGTCCACCAGGGATCGTTCCATCCGCAATTGTAGGCGACGATGCGGTAGCACGTTCGCTGCTGGTCGCAGAGGTTCGAATCCAGCGGCCGCCCTGATTAATACGGCGGGTGCAATAACCACAGTAATGCTACTACGACTACTACGACGCGCAGTCTGCTTCACAGTAGACGTTCAAGACGTCGTTCGCAAGAGAAGGCCATTGTGTGCTGGCGTCAGGGACCAAATTTGTTAAAAATTATAAAAGGTGAACCAGAATTTACTCAATTGTTATTATATACAACGCAGCATCAATTGTCCCCTGCTGGCAGGAGTCTGATGACCCCCGGTTACTCTTGCGAACCAGACTCATTGTGGTCTCTTGAGTTCTCACCCGGTTTAGAAACAAAATAAACTTGAACCGACAGGATCTGCCTACTTGCCGGATAAATTAACCGTTCAGCCTAAACTTGTCGCAGTCGTGTGCTTTCGTGAGTTTGATGACCAAAATAAAATCCCATTTCCCTATTGGCCCGCTGGTTACCCTCCCACTCCAGCAACCAACCAAACTTCCCTCGTTTGGGTGGTTGCTCCTCGCCCCGTGCTGTCCCCCGCTGTCTGAAATTCACTTCCTCTTGCCGTGCGTGCCGAATTAACGTCACCGGGGTGTCCTCTCGAAAAGAGACAGCTGACGGCAAATAGAATGAAAGAAACCCCGAAATAACCCCCGTTGGTAGGCAGCAATCTAGGGTCTAGCAATCGAGGGTCAACGTGCCAACTATATTGGTTGAGAAAGCTGCCCTGATCCGTCGCGGGCTCGCCACACAGGGCGCACTCTGGCATCATCGCCTGCGCGCTTTCTCACCTTGCCATGGGCATTCAGAGACGTACTCTTAGGTTTTTCGGTAAAGTCACGTAGGTAAAAAATAAAAAAATAAAAAATAATACAAACAATAATAGAAATAAAATAATAAATCACGACGTTTTGGAGGCAGTAAATCTTGAGACAATAAATATGGCTGTGACGGTCCCACCGGATGACGGAGACTTGTGTTGACTCCGAAACGTCGTGATTTATTATTTTATTTCTATTATTATTTCTATAATTTTGTATTTTTTACCTACGTGACTTTACCGAAAAACCTAAGAGTATGAATCCTTGCAGTCACGAAAGCTTCAAATCTAGAATTCAGAGACGTCCCACGGAGGGGTCAGAGTCGAGCCCTCCACGCACCGTGGCGAGGTGGTAACGACCTCGCCTGGTGTGCAGGAGGTCGTGAGTTCGGTCCCGACGCTGACGCCTGCTGCTGTATATGTAGGGTTTGCGTACTCTCCCCGGATTTTTCTCCGAGTCCTCCGGCCCCCCCCCCTCCACATTTAGAATCTCCACATTTAGAATCAATACCACGCGTTTAGAGTATTTGACTGCTGCCATGAATATCCACGTGATGAGCCACTTCCGTTGAGACATTTTACCTGAATCGTTGAGATTTACTTTCAAATGTGGACTTTCCGCAAACAGTCTCGGCGCTACCTACAGATATGGAAATCGCCACCCCCGTTCCTCTATTGATCGAAGAGAGAGAGACGGAGGAGAGAGATGGAGAGACAGACAGAGAGAGGAGAGAGACAGAGCGACGGAGAGAGATAGGGAACCACTAAGAGATTCTCCCGAATCTGCCCCAAACCGTGCACACAAAACCAAAAACTCGTAACCTGCGTGCCGGCAGCGCCGTGCGTGGAAACTTCAACCCCCGACGCCGCGGCACGCGATGGCAGCCCCGGCGCTGCGTGAAAGTTCCATGGCACGAGCGCGCTGGCGATGTCACCGCGCACGTGCTTTGCTTGGCTTTGAAAGAAAACTAAAACAAACCCCGGTGATGCCCTCCACTTGTGGCCTCCGTGGTGCCGTCTGTTCCCTGCGCTCTCGCGTTATACAAATGATGTCCTCGTTCGCTGCCCACGTTCAGTGCCCGCGTGTTCAGTGCCCGCGTGTTCAGTGCCCGCGTTGGCTGCTCGCGTTCGCTGCCCAGTTCAGTGCCCGCGTGTTCAGTGCCCGCGTTGGCTGCCCGCGTTGGCTGCCCAGTTCAGTGCCCGCGTGTTCAGTGCCCGCGTGTTCAGTGCCCGCGTTGGCTGCCCGCGTTGGCTGCCCACGTTCAGTGCCCGCGTGTTCAGTGCCCGCGTTCGCCGTTGAATGCATGCGGCCGGAGGGCAGCAATCTCATGCTAACCGAATCGCGTTGCCGTAACAAGCGAGACGATGCATGCCCGTGTGTTGAACTTCTTTCGCACGGCACGCAGCCAACCGTGCTAATCGGAGGTGCGATGGCAGTGGCGTAGCTATTGAGAGTGCAGGCGGTGCAACTGCACCTGTGACTATGGGCCGGAGAGGCCATAGCGCCAAAGGGGTGGGGGCATGAGGGGGGGGGGCGGTGTTCGGCAGAGTGAGGGTCGGGGGGCCTCATTCACTCCATGGCAACGCGAGGTGGCCGAGCGGATTTGCCGTCCTGACGAGCGTGGCATGGTGTGGCGTGGTGTGTGCGTGGTGTGGTGTGGTGTTGCGTGGTGTGGCGTGGTGTGGCATGGTGTGGCGTGGTGTGTGTGTGATGTGGTGTGGCGTGGTGTGGCGTGGTGTGGCGTGGTGTGGTGTGGCATGGTGTGGCGTGGTGTGTGTGTGCGTGGTGTGGTGTGTGCGTGGTGTGGCGTGGTGTGGCGTGGTGTGTGTGTGTGCGTGGTGTGGTGTGTGCGTGGTGTGGCGTGGTGTGGCGTGGTGTGGCGTGGGGTGGTGTGGTGTGCCATGGTGTGGCGTGGTGTGTGTGTGCGTGGTGTGGTGTGTGCGTGGTGTGGCGTGGTGTGGCGTGGTGTGGCGTGGTGTGGTGTGGCGTGGTGTGGTGTGTGCCGTGTTGTGGTGTGGCGTGGTGTGTCCGTGGTGTGGTGTGGTGTTGCGTGTGCGTGGTGTATTGTGGTGTGTGCGTGGTGTGGTGTCCCGTGGTGTGGTGTGGCGTGTGCGTGGTGTGGTGTGGTGTGGCGTGGTGTGGCGTGGTGTGGCGTTGTGTGTGCGTGCGTGGCGTTGCGTGGTGTATCGTGGTGTGTGCGTGGTGTGTGCCGTGGTGTGGTATGGTTTGGCGTGGTGTGGTGTGGTGTGGTTTGGCGTGGTGTGGTGTGGTTTGGCGTGGTGTGGTGTGGTGTGGTGCATCGCAGGTGATCATCCCCATGGGGTCGGTGCGCACCATCCAGAAGCACCGCATGGTGAAGCTGCTGCCGAACGCGCTGTGTCTGCTCACCAGCGACGGCACCAAGGTGAGCGAGACTCGCCGCCACGTCGCTCCATCCACCATCACCACCACCACTGTCACCATCACCACCACCACTGTCACCATCATCACCACCACTGTCACCATCATCACCACCACTGTCACCATCACCACCACCACTGTCACCATCACCACCACCACTGTCACCATTACCACCACCACCGCCACTGTCACCATTACCACCATCGGTGTAGGAGCTACCCGCTGCTGGATGCAGGTCTCCGCCAGGTTTTGTTCCACCACCTGTTGCGCTCTTGCGATCTGCCGAGCGCCCGCACGATGACCGGTTTCATCTCGACGGAGAACTCCCTCCCCTCTGGCCGCCGCAACTCACTCCACCGTTCGCCTTCTGCCAGCACCGTCGCGGGGACGGTGGGTGCGGGGGGGGTCAAGTGGATCGTTGTATCACGGAATCAAGGGAGTTGGCGACGGTTTGCAAATGCATTCATCCAGCAGTGGATAAACCATTGCCGGACGTGATTATGGCGAATGGGTGTTTACTGAACGAGATGAAAGTTCAGACGGAATTCTCGTGTGAAGTGGGGGGAGACACCTTGTAACGGCGCCACAGGGGCTAGGAGATGTTGACTACCTCGCCTTGGTATACAGGAGGTCGTGGGTTTTATCCTGACCCTGACGCCTGTTGTATATTCCGAGTTTGCATGTCTCTCTCGCTCTCTCCCAGTGATTGTATGGATTTTTCTCCGGGTCCTCCGGGTTGTCCCCCCGAAATATACAAACGTGCGTTTAGAGTCTTTGGCTGCTTAAAACGTCCACACTGATAAGCCACTTCGTTGGGCTATCATTTTGTGGCCAGGTCACTTCTGACAAAGAGCTACACAACTCAGTGGGCCTTACCTGATAAAAGAAACACAATAGTCAATGTGAATAGTACGAGTGGTACACAATGGGTCTAGAAGAGCTACGTAGTTACCCATGAGTGATTTTCGAAGTTGTAACTTGTGTCGGGACAATAACGCACAATGGTCCATTCTACTAAGCGACGTGGCGGGCACTGCAACTCCTGCTGCATTGGCGGTGGTGCACAGGCACGCATCTCAAATCCAACCCATTCGTCAATAGCAACACGTGTGTGGCCTTACATGGATTCATTATCTAGATTGAAAACTCTATGGATCTCTGTGGGTCTCTGTGAGTCTCTGTGGGTCTCGATGGGTGTCTTCATTCCAATATTAAGACGCCACTGGAGGTATGCACTTTTTAAACCATTTTGATTGCAAACTCATTTCTTTAGAACTGCTCTTTGTGTTTAGTTTATTGTCTTTCCCCCGCACCTCCGACAAGCACGGTTAGCTACGTAGGGTGCTAAAGAAGTTCAACATACGTAAAAAAACACACACAACACGGTGTTATAGAGAAATGTGTTGAGTTTGTGTTGTTGCTGTTGTCAATCTTATGAGTAGTCGCCCTGGGCTCTCCAAAACCAGACAATCACAATCGTGCCGCGACCTCACGCGACCTCTCCCCGCCACCTCTCCCCCCCGAATCGCGCGGATTTTCATTCCGCGCGCGCGCTCCGCAGCCGTCGCGCCGCGCGACCCGTCACGGCCTTTCCGTGCAACTGGGCTCAAGGAGACGACGCGAATGATAATCCCCCGCTCTGGTTGCTGAGAAATGAAGGACATCTCGGGGGCCGTGCAAGGTCCCTTGGTCAACCACGCCGCTCGTTGCAAACGCTGCTGCTGCAGCACGATGGAATATTTTGTGCGCCCGTCTAGTTTTTTGTATTTTTGCCAGAAGTCGCCCGCCGCTCACGACGTGTCCACCCTCTTGCCTCTTTCCCCCCTCTCCCTGTCCTCCTCGTCCTCGTCACCCAGTACCGCTTCACCTCCCTGATGTCACGCGACACCACCTACAACCACCTCCACTCGCTCTGCAAAAACCTGGAGGTGAGACGGAGACGGCGCAAAAACGAGGAAATATTTTCACGGGGGGGGGGGGGTGTGGGGGGTGGGGTGTCACCGGCTGGCTGTAACAGTAGACGCTTGACCAGCGGTGGGCAGTAGCCGCAGCCAGAGGTGGCGAGATGTTAACTACCTCGCCTGGTATACAGGAGGTCGGGGTACGATTTAGACCCTGACGATGCCTGCTGTACACTTGGAGTTTGTAGGATCTCTCTGCCCGTGGTCGCGTGGATTTTCGTCGGGGTTCTCCGTTCTTTGCGATAGCTCGGTGGGGGGGTATCAATACCTGCTCCCCCCGGCCAACGCGTTTCGCCCATTTTCCGCCGTGACCCTGACAGGACGACAACTCCGAGGCAGCGTTGCCCTGCCCAGACCCCAGCCGCTCCGCGCCCTCACGAAGGCCAAGGCCACGGTCGCTGCTCCTGGTAAATGATTCACTGCCGCGTGCGCACCTCGCCCACCCGTTCTACCGGACCGACCGGAACGACTGGACTATCCCCGTCGCCCGTACTGTGTTCATATCCACCACGTCGCAGCATATATACAGGCAGAGGGTGGTGGTCCCAGATGTCTTGTGACCCTGCCAGTTAATTGACCCCCCCCCCCCTCCACATCAAAAAAGTATTTTTTTTACCTTTGCATATTCCTTTTTCTGACTTAAAAAAAAGTTTTCGAGGATTAAATGAAGGTCACAAGACATCTGCACCTCCCTGTGTGTATATATATATGAAAACATGTGCTAAGTTGGCTACATACGGTGTTAAAGAAGTTCAACATCCACACGTGCAGCACGGCCCCCCGACTGTGAGACTACGGGCGGACTCTACCCGAGTGTGACACACACAGCAGCAGCAGCAGCAGCGGCGCCTTCCTTCCCTCCGTGCGCTAACGTAACCCTCGCGCTAAACGAGGACTGCGCGGATACCGCCCCCCCCTCCCAAACAAATGGGCCGCCAGTCCGCGAGGTTTGTTTCGTGTCGTCTCCTCCGACGCAGAACCCGACGGAGGAATTCTCGCGCAGCGGCGGCGGCGTCAGGCGGAGAGCCTCGTGCCAGGAGCAGGCGCTGGCTCGGACTCCGCTCAGCGGAGACTTGAAGGGCAGCTACTGCACGCAGTGCGACACACCGCCTCGAATCGACTCGCCTGGTAACACCCCCCCCCCCCACCCCCCTCCTCACTGACAACACCACTCATCACACTGCCCCCCTCCACCACCACCACTCATCACACTGCTCCCCTCCACCACCACCACTCATCACACTGCTCCCCATCCACCACCAGCACAACCACCACTCATCACACTGCTCCCCTCCACCACCAGCACTCATCACACTGCTCCCCATCCACCACCAGCACCACCACTCATCACACTGCTCCCCTCCACCACCAGCACCACCACCACCACTCATCACACTGCTCCCCTCCACCACCAGCACCACCACCACTCATCACACTGCCCCCCTCCACCACCACCACCACCAGCACCACTCTTCACACTGCCCCCCATCCACCACCAGCACCACCACCACTCATCACACTGCCCCCCTCCACCACCACCACCACCACTCATCACACTGTCCCCATCCACCACCAGCACCACCACTCCTCACACTGCTCCCCTTCACCACCAGCACCACCACCACCACTCATCACACTGTCCCCCTCCACCACCAGCACCACCACCACCACTCATCACACTACCCCCCCCACTCCTCACACTGCCCCCCCCATTCCTCACACGGCTCCCCTCCAACCCCACCACCACCACTCCTCACGCTGGTCCCTCCCACCACCACCACCACCACCACCACAACTCTTCACCACCACCAACACTCCTCGCAACTCTGTGAGCTCGTTTGAAATGGGGGGCGGGGCAGGAGGGGACATTTCCAGGTTGTTGGGTGGCCGAGACTCGGTATGAATCCGAATGTTTAGAATCTTTAGAACGTGTTCGTTATCCTGGAGAAATCCGACGAGCTCTGAAGATCTCTTTCACAGACATCCAGCAGGTCGCGGGTCAGAGAGTTAGAAAAACAATAAAACAATCCAAAAAACACGATAGGGAGTACAAAGTATGGTGAAGGGTGAGCACATCACTAAAAATAAAATAAGTAAAAGAGATAAGGAGGTGGTGGGCCCACGCCGTCCGTCCCTGGGCGTGCCGAGCCGCTCCTTCTCTCCATCGACTTGTGGCTCCAAAGGAACCGATGCTTTAGACAAAAAATGTTAGAGATGCAAATCAGGGCAGGGCGCGACAAATACGCGCGAGTTCAGTGATGGGGGTTGAAGGTGGGAGGGGGAGCGGGGGAGGGACGGGAGGTGGTGGGGGGGGGGTCATCGAGCGCCCCGCGGGAGCCACTGTCCCTTTCTCGGAAGACTCGGGGCCTCCCGATTGCGTCACGGCGGCCGCACGTACACACGGACACACGTACACACGGACACACGTACACACACGGACACACGGGCACACGTACACACGGACACATGGACACATGGACACACGGACACACGTACACATGTACACACGGACACACGTACACACGGACACACATGGACACACGGACGCACTTACGCACGTACACACGTACACACGGACACACATACACACGAACACACGTGGACGCACGCACAGAAACGCACGTACACACTTACATACGCACGCACGCACGGACGGACACACGCGCGCGCGCGCACGTGCACCACGCACACGGATGGTTGCTTAAATATACTTCGCCACGCCGGTCAGTGTGGGTCGGTGAAGGTGTTGGGAGTGGGGGGGTCAGAACCAGTTCAGACACGACCAGTAGTGACACCGTAATGGTGATCAAACGCGACGTTAACGCTACATCATCAAAAAGGCATGAAGACAATAATGCAATTGTGATGATACTTCACCACGCTGGTCACTGCGTGTTGATGAAGGCGGCGGGGGGGGGGAGTTCAGGGCCGGCTCACTTATGACTCGCACGTGACGTTAGCCGTGGGTTTATTTTTTTATTTTTAAACAGAGGTCAGCTTTGCTGGGTTCATTGTGTTTCAATCACTGCGCCACCAGCTTCCTTTGCAAGTCATCATCATGACTCGAGGAAAATAACCACGTCGAGTTCGTCGGCGTTCGTCTCCTACGCCCGCGAGAAAAATGAAACCAGGCACCGAGCCCACCGTGACACGTCGGAGAAGAACGCGAATTTTTCGCAAAACGCGCGCGCGAGAGAGAGAGAGAGGGGGAGAGGGAGGGAGAGAGGGAGGGAGCCCTCCTCCTCGTGGTCGTCTTCGTCGGCCGATGTTTTCATGCGGGCGCTGGGCCGATTGCAGGCTGCCACCAGAAGCAGGTTGGGTCGGTGCGAGGGCGAGGGGGGGGGGGCACGTGAACAGACGAAACACGAGGGGGGGGGGGCAAGAGACGGGTCCCCACAAAGTGGGTGAGGAGGCTCCCAGGGGTCACGATGAACATCGGGGGTTTGAACTCATTATCAGCTCAAACATCAGCGGCTGATAGGCTCGTGATTCTAAACAGCACTTGAAAATATTTGAGCGGGTTTGTGGTTGTTGTAACTAGTCTATTGGATGCATTGTTTCACAAAGTTGTGGTGTTGTACGTATGCATGTTGGGTTTCTTTCGCACCGTACGTAGCCAACCGCGCTCATCGGAGATGCTATTACGTTGATGGTAGCTGCTCCAGCGTGTGGTTTCTAGTCACGTGTCAAAACAAGTCAACGTGGTTTCCTGCTCCAAAGAGCATTGAAGCGGTGTAAAATCCCCATTCCTATGGCAAGGACGAGTCTAAAACATTAGATAACCACCGTTGACATCCGCACAAAATAGTACTGATTTTATCGACCCCAAAGATGGATGATGGGCTGAGTCGACCATCCCTGACCAGGACTTGAACTCCCAACCTTTCGATTACAAGCCGCTCGCTCCACCCCACACAGCCACAACACTCTGCCAGTTCAGTAAACTGCAATTGCCGTGTTACTGCGAGGAGTGAATTGCTATGATCGTTGTTGTTGTTGTTTGTAGTTTGCAGAGTTATCGCCGTAGAGGGATTCATAGCCGCACTTAAAGTGTGGTAATTACCGCCCGCTCTCATCGTTGACGTGCCACCGACTGGGCCATGGCTGCGATTGGCGGGGTACAGCGTTACTTCTAAATGTGTTCGTCTTCTTCTGACGACGACGAAGCAGACACTGCCCTTGCCAGCGTCGCCACCTTTGACGTTGACAAACGCGGAGCTTTTTCGTTTCACACCTCGATCGAAACGCCACCATCATCATCATCATCGCCGCAGCCACTGCCTCTCCCTCGTCTGCTAGCCACGTACCCAACCGGGGTTACTCGGCCCCTCTGCCAATCGGGGTCACGATGACTCACCCCACCCCCTCCCCCCACCCCCCAAAGAAAACCTCCTTCGCCTGGAGGCATCACAGCGTGCAAGCGTCGGTGGTGAGATGTTAACTACCTCGCCTGGTATACAGGAGGTCGTGGGGTTAGATCCTGACGCCTGCTGTATAGTTGGAGTCTGCGTGTCTCTCTCTCCCCGTGGTCGCGTGGATTTCTCTCCGGGTCCTCCGGTTTTACCCCTCCACGTTTAGAATCGACCTCAAGCGTTCAGAGTATTCGGCTGCTGCTCTGCATCTCCACGTGACGACGATGAGCCGCCACTTCGTTGAGCTTTCATTTGCGATGACCAGGTCGCTGCTGAAAAAAAACTACCCACAAGGCTCAGCGAGGGCCTTCCCTGGCAACAAAACGAAAACATTTCATCGTCCAATTGATTTCGCTCCGCGTTGTCGTTTTCGGGAACGGCGAAGACGGCGCGACGGACGCGCACTTCGACAACGGCGAGGACGACGACTCAGACGGCGGCCGCCGCGGGAGCACGCCGCGATCTGACAGCGAGGGCGGCTCGCAGACCCACGGAGCCGAGAGCGGCCACTCGGGCAGAGGTGAGCGAGCTTCGGATGCCTGCGATGCAACCAACTCCCCCTCCACCCCCACACCCTCCACCCCTCAAACCCCGCAACACCGCCAGCGTACCGTGAGCAAGGCATTTGCGAAGAGAGGTGAGGAATTTAATTTACCGCGACGGCTGCACCCGTGAAATGCGGACCGGCTGCGTGGCTTCACCTTCTGCCACGCTGCCCAAATGGGAGGTAAATCTTTAAACGCCGTCGGTCCCCCCCCCACCTCTCACCGCCTCCCCCCCCGCACCCCCTCCGTATGCAACCCTTACGCATTGGAGGGGGGGGGGGGGGCATAAGTAGCGCTACCCTACGTGGCCATTACCAAATTTCCATCTTCAAGCGGCGAATTAAAAGTGTTTTGACGGCCGCATTTTCTGCCGCGCGGTTGCGCCGCCGCACGGCCCGGCCACTCCGCCCCACCGAGAGCCTTCACAGCACGACGGCCCCAAATGATTGAACAACATTTCTAGTGCAGAACCAAATTTTAATGTGCCCGCTTTTTTTCCCACCCCCACCTATACAGCCACTGGCCAGTCGGGCTGAGGCCATCTCAACTCTCCACAATTGGACGCTGCCTGGATTGGAATCCAGAACCTCAGACGTGGCAGCTTGGTGCTCTCACTTTGAGTTTCCCGGCATGCCTCTCAGTGTCTTTGACTCATGAACAAGAAACACTTTGTCGTGAGAGATCCAGCGCAGAAGATCCCTCTGTGTTTGATCTTCCACGAAAGCTCACGGTCCGCCCTAAACCGCATCCACTGCACACACCACGGCAGATGCGGATACCTGATGCACACATGGAAAGTGGTCATCCAGAACAAACCGTACAACGAATAACGACACAACTCCCGATCCACAAACACGACGGAGACATCGTAGCGATACAACTCCGCTGCTCATGGCGCGGTTGTCCGGCTCGAGCACCTGAATGCGAAATTGTGGTTGCTGCTCTGCATCGACATCAACAGCCATACGAAAGAAGAAGGATATTCATTTGATGTTATTATAACAACAACAACAATGGTCACGACGACGCAACCTACCACGTGCACACAGTTTCACGGAGGGCAGTAAGCGTGACCGCGATGGGAGGTGGGCAGCTGTGGCACTGGGCCCCGCTAACGTGACGGCTCTCTCTCTGTCTCTGTGTGTGCTCTCTCTCTGTGCTCTGTGCTCTCCCCCTGTCTGTCTGTCGCAGACCCCCCCAGGTGCAACGGCCACGCGAAGGCCCCGCCCGGGTGGCCGTCCCCTGCGCTCACGGACCCCGGCCCAGCGGGGAAGAAGCGATCGCTGTCTCTGCTCTGGCTTTATTTCTTCATGTGAGTGCCACCCTCTGACGGCAGTGTCCTCCGTTGCGTGGCCCCGCGGCCCACTGGCGGTCCCCTGGTGGCCTTTCGTGTGGACCCTGGCGTGCGGCCACCACCCTCCCCCATACCCATCATCATAGTGCTGCCACAAACTCCCCAATGGTTTCATATGTGTGGCGGCCCTCGCACACTGATGATGTCTAGTGGGGCCCCCCTTTGAAAATGAGTGAGGAACACGTGCCCCTGTGCGGTAACCATAGCGACTCGGGGTCTCCACGGCAGTCGGTGCCCCAGTGCACTGCGGCCCTGGTGCCCCAGTGAGCCAGTGCCCACGTGTCTTGGTACTCCGGGTAAGATGACTTTGTGTGTCTTTGCGGTGCGCTGTGTAAACATCACCACTAGGGAGAAAAAGGCGGTCGGGCGTGGTGCTGGCCACCCACCCATCCCCTCGTGTACCGTCCCGGCCTTCATAGGTGCTGCCTTGACGTGTGTGTGTGCCTTTGACGTGTGTGTGTGTATTTTTAATGTTATCGCCGTAGATGCGATGGAGATTGCCGTGGTAAACAGGGGCCAGGCGTTCCGCCTCGCCGCCCCTCGCGATGAGGAATGCCACTGCGCGTGCTTGCTTAGCGCAGAGTTCACGAGCGGCGTCCGCGTTTGTTTGCTTGGACTGCTGCTGCTGCTCATCTCGGAATTCGAGCGGTGCAGCTGTCTTTGTTGTTTTGTACTCTCTGTGTGTGTGTGCGCGCGTGGCCTCAAACCACACCAAGCCTGGTGATGTCCCACTGGTGGATGGAGGCTGGTGTTTGTTTGTACTGAAGGGGGGCAGGAGGGCAGGGGGGCCAGGGGGGGGGGGCAGGGGGGAGTCAGTGTAATGAATAGCGCGCCGCGCTACGAACCCGGCGTCCCGAGTTCGATTCCCCTTCACGGGAAGCGAATATCAGTGGCAAGTGCGCTCTGCACTGACCAGGCCCCGTCTTCCCCTAGGTTGACTCAGCCTTAGGTTCTTCGTGTATTTTGTAAAAAAAAAAAACACATCAGGACGGAGGGAGAAAAATGCGGCCGATCGTTGTGCTAACCACACCACCACCTCGTGCATCATTCCGGCCTTGATTAGGTAGCCGCCAACAGCACTTGCCCCGGCAGTTTACGTACGGCTACCTGGGAGATCTTCATCTCTGTCGTGGTTTGTGCGTGTGTGTGTGCGTGCGCAGCGTCCTACTGCTGGTGTTGGTGAGTTGCTACATGGCGGTGCGCATCAACCTCCTGGAGCAGATGTTGGCCCGGATACCGATCCCTCCAAAGCCGCCCCTGCGTCCGCAGAGGTGATGGTCGCACTTCCTCGACCTCCTCGGTACAACATCGCACTGCCTCCTCCTCCTCCTCCTACGTCTCCTCCTCTGCCTCCTCCTCCGCACCCTACGCTGCAAAGCTCTGCATCTCATCACCTCCCCTCCCCACGTGTGCGAAAGGGGGCAACGCTCTATCCCGGTGTTCTTCATTGCAAAGCCCCCCCCCCCCCCCCCCCCCCCCCCCCCGGGACAATACGCAAAGATTGAGAACACCCCCCGGGCATCATCGTGCTGCTGTCAAACCTCAAAGGTGTTAAATGTGTGGTGGCGCTCACTCTGACGACGTCTTAACGGCGAAGGTGCCCCCCGCCCCCCTCTGAAAATGAGTGAAGGGCACTTCTCTATCCCAAACAGAGGGACCAGGTGGACACTCTTAGGTTTTTTCGGTAAAGTCACGTAGGTAAAAAATAAAAATAAAATTAATAAAAGTAAAATAAAAATCACGACGTTTCGGAGGCAACACAAGCTTCCGTCCTCGTGCTGAGACGGTTCCACCTGAAGATGGAAGCTTGTGTTGCCTCCGAAACGTCGTGATTTTTATTTAACTTTATTAATTTAAATTTTATTTTTTACCTACGTGACTTTACCGAAAAAAACACAAGAGTATGAATCCTCGCAGCCACGAAAGCTTCAAATCTAGAAGGAGCAGGTGGAGTCCACACCTTTTTGTTTGCTGCACCGCATTCTCCTGGCAGAGCCTGGGGTACGGCACCTCCTCGACGCCCATGGCAATGCGCGAGGGAGCGACGCCACTCTAAGCCCAGACTACCGATGGGAACAGGTGGCGATTAGCCCACTTGCCGTACTGCCTTCTCCTGGCAAGCCAGGTGATGCTTCCTACTCCTTCTCCTCCTCCACGCCCACGGGGTTATCGCAAAGTCCGCGTGTGCGGTGATCCACCAACGCCCGTTTGCTGCCTCCACAGTGCCGGGTTACAGGCAGAAGCAGCAGCGTAGCTACCACCGCCGGCACCAAAAGATAGGCAATGATCCCCTCGTGTCGCCTTCACAGACTGGAGGGACAAGTGCTGTTAGCGAGTAACACACCTGTGAAGGACGGAGCGGCAAATCAACGCCACTGCCATCAGCACCGCCACCGCCGCCACCACAACCCCCACCACCGCCACAACCACCACAGCCAGCACCACCGCCACCACCACCATCACCACCGCCGCCACAACAACCACAACCAGCATCACCAGCGCCATCACCCCCACCACCACCGCCACAACCACCACACCCAGCACCACTACAACCACCACCCCCAGCACCACCAGCGCCATCACCCCCACCACCACAACCACCACACCCAGCACCAAAACCACCACACCCAGCACCACCACCACAACCACCACACCCAGCATCACCACAACCACCACAGCCACAACCACCACACCCAGCACCACCGCCACAACCACCACACCCAGCATCACCACAGCCACAACCACCACACCCAGCATCACAACCACCACACCCAACACCACCGCCCTGCTTGACGCGGTGTGGTCGCGTTCTCCGTTTCGCAGGTACGGAGAGGTGTGACGCGAGCAGTCTGGGTCACGGCTTCTGGGCCAAGACCCTACAACGGGAAACACCTCGCGCCGAGCTGCAGGCAGAGTTGGTGGGGGGTGGAGTGGGGGGGGGAGTCGGTGACTCTGACCCGTCCCCACTGGGCGACTTTGACGAACGGCGCAGCGAGCGCGACAGACATGAAGCTGATCAATTCAACGCGGGGGGAGAGTGGTGGGGGGGGGGGTCGATGTGGACCAACGTGTTTGCGTCTTGCACCCACGCACGACGCACGACTTCGTTTTGTCCACGGGGTCTTATGCCCATTAGCGGGATTCTGTTTCGCTGTTGTTGTTTGAGCAAAGTTGGAACTTTGCGCCGTGTACTACTATACGCGCACTTTGTATTTATACCACAAATCAGTTGATGACCTTCGACGTTGCGCACTGGGAGCGTAGCCCCGTAGCGGGCGATGTGCGGATTTCCTTTGTTGATTATCTTTTTGGGTAGTGCGGAAGAGTAGGCCGAATACCGTCGTGTGTGTGTTGAGCTTCTTTCGTTCCGTGCGTAGCCGACCGCGCTAATCTCAAGATCCGGATTCTCTGCAGGTCTCTGTTGCATGCGGTGGGGTAAAACGTGGGCACTCCCACCTTTACCAACATTGTCTCGACAGCATGAAAGAGTAGGCCGAACACCATCTACAGGGGCGGTGAGCTTCTCTGGAGCTCTCTCCAATTGGGGAGTGGGGGGGGGAGCCTTCCACCAGCAGCGGAGAGAGCAAGACATTGCTGCACCTTTACCTTTACAAGATCACGATCCGTGCGGCAGATGAAGCTTTTAACTTGGAGGTGAACTTTCGCCGACGAGTTCCGTGATTATTTCCTGTCGTCATTCACATTTTTTGTCGGGAACGGCGCGTTTCATTACTGGCGGACAAACAACACGACGTGACTACGTGTGTGTGTGTGCGTGCGTGTCGTCTGTGTGTCCGTTGTGGGCAGCGGTAGAGTAGCGATGAGCGCTACGCTGCGCTACGAACCTGGCCACCCGGGTTCTATTTCCCGCTCACGGCCAACACCAGTGACGATTATCTGAACCGCTCCTGGGCCTCCCATTGGTCGACTCAGACTCCAAATGAGTACCTGGTGCGGCGTGTAAACATTGCCACGAGGGAGACAAAGGCGGACGGGTGTGGTGTTGGCCACCCACCCCCTCGTGTACCGTGCCGGCCTTCATAGGTGCTCGCTAACAGCGCTTGCCCCGACAGTCTGTTAAGGCTGCAGGCGGGATGTTTGTCGTATGCTCGTGTGTCTGTGTGCACGACGCGCTCTGTCCAAACCGCGTCGTGCCCACCAGAAGGAGCTTTAAACGCCTCCGGCACCGCGCATCGAATACGGCACCATAGCGTTCGGTGCAGAGCAAGCCGCGGGTGTGTAATGCACGTGAAGAGGATTGAGCGATTTGCACCTCGACAATCGGATCTGTTTAATGCGCAGCGGAGTTTAGCGACGAGTTCATTATTGCGGTGTGGCCGGGCGAGACCTCGGGAGACCAGGGTGTGAGTCTCATCCGCAAGAGCGCCCTGGGTGAAATGATTGGTGGCAAGCAGCGCCACTCGGTCCGCCACGGTGGCTAGGAGATGTTAACTCCCTCGCCTGGTATACAAGAGGTTGTGGGTTCGATTCCGATCCTGGCGCCTGCTGTATATTTGCAGTTTTCGTGTTCTCTCTACCCGTGGTCGCGTGTATTTTTCTCCGGGTTATTCACTTTGGAAACGTGCCATACATTTCCACAGCATAAGTCACTTCGTTGAGCTATCATTTGTAGGCAGGTCGCTTCTGAAAAAGAGCTACTGTATAGCTCAGTGGGCCATCATCAGGAAAATATAAATTGAGTAATTTAATAAATAAAGCGTGTTTATGATCGACATAGGAATGCCTTCATCCAGCAGTGGATAGACAATCGCTAATGATGATGACTTAGTAACGCACTATCATAATAAGATATTATAATTTAAATGTATAATGTTCCATGTGATCATACTGATTGTGGTCGCTCGATTAATTTTGTGAGTTGCCACATTCGAGTAGCGGATGGCAGTGGATTCATCGGAGTATCCTTCGGCACATTCATTCACGGCCTCATCTTGATCGGCAGGGGGCGCGGAGCGGTGGCGCAGCGGTTAGCGCATTGCGAGTTCACTTCTCGGCCAGGGCCCGAGTTCACGTACCGGCCACCGCTCGCAGCGTCGAGCGACACCCGACTCGGTCCTCCACCAAACCCGCACCGACCAGTGTGGTCCGCTACGGTCAAGCAACCCCCCACCCCCATGACCGCTACGGGCACAGGGGAAGCCTTCGTCCAGCAGCGGATTAACAATGGGCCCGCAAGTTTATTGATCAGCAGCAGCAGCCAGCATGTGGACGACCAGAGCCACGCGGTCTGTCACGCGATGCTCATCACCAACCAGCGCTCGATATTGCGCCACCGCTCAGCATTCTCACGTCGCCAGAGTGACTGGACGCACGCAACGCTTGTGTTTCCCCGCAAAAACACACAAATACAAAGATCCCCCGTATAGTCTGTAGCAGACTGTCGGGGCAAGTGCTGTGAGCGAGTAGCACCTCTTAAGGTCGGCCATGGCACACGCGAGTGGCTGGGTGGCGAGCACCACGCCCGGCCACCTTTGTCTCCCTAGCGACGGTGTGTTTTCACACCGCACTAGGTACTAATTTGAGTACGAGTCGACCCAGGAGAGGCCCAGGACCAGTTGAAAATGTATGTCAAGGTTATACGGGGGACCTTTGTCTTTGTCTCATCAGTGCAGATTTTCGCTCGCGGTCCTGTCCGGACGAACCGCAGAGAGCCGGAGTTCTAACTTCATGGCAAGAATCGCCAAACAACAACAACAAGAGGGAATGTTTTTTTCTTGATGCTGTTTTAAATCGCAGTTGTTTGCTGAGCGCAGTGCCCAAAGGCACGGATTGCCAAGCGACCAGCTGATAAACAGCACAACTGAAGGTGTGACAGGACGAGTTGACAGGGTTGTGGGAGTAAGCCCGGTGAGAAGGATGTTGGGGGAATCGAGACGAATGGGAGGGGTTTCCTTCGGCCAGCGGAGTGAGGAGAGAAGCATTGTTGTGAATTGCGGTGGTGGTGGTTGAGTGCCCATCAAATGTAACATTCCAATTGGCGGACCGAGTCCTCGGCATGGCGGGGAGGACTCAATGAGTTAAGTTCACGGGTCGGTAATCGTGGTAGCAGCGATGAGAGAATGACAAGTGGGCGACTGACCGTCGGCGAGTCGTGAATTCGGTGAATGCCGGATCATCAATCAGAGTCCCGCTGCTTTGCTGCTGTAGGGGAGTGCACGCGGATCGGGACGGCAGGAAGGCAGCGCCGCGCGCGTTTGATCCGCGTGTGTCGGACGCAAGTCGCTGGCTGTTGCGACCTCTATACAAAATTGGCCCAACCTCGTCAGGAGGGACCCCCCTGAGTGGCGGCTGGTTGGCTCGCAGATCTGCTCCAGGGGCGGGTCGGCGAGATGTTAACTACCTCGCCTGGCATACAGGAGGTCGTGGATTTGAACCCGACCCTGACGCCGGTATATTTGGAGTTTGTATTTTCTGCCCGTGGTAGCGTAGATTTATCACCGGGTCCTTCGGTTATGCCCTCCACATTTAGAAGAATCGACTTGCGCTCCGGGTATTTGGCTGCTATAAATGTCCACGTGATACGCCACTTGGTTGAGCTATCATTTCCGGCTATGTCGAGTCTGAAAAAGAGCTACATAGCTCAGTGGGCCTTTCTTGGTAAAATAAAAAAAAACATTAATCTTCTTGGTTCTTTCGGTAAAGTCACGTAGAAGGGAAATAATAAAATAATAAAATAAAACATAATAAAATAATTCTCACGACGTTTCGGCCACAACAGCTGCTTGCGTTGTGGCCAAAACGTCGTGAGAATTATTTTATTATGTTTTATTATTATTTTATTATTTTCCTTCTACGTGACTTTACCGAAAGAACCAAGAAGATGAATCCCTGCAGTCACGAAAGCTTTAAATAAAAAAAAAACATTGTTAAGGTTAGCTTAAACTGCACGCTTATCTGGAGACAGCCTACGCGTGTAGGTGGGCGAGTCGATCTCGGATCCGTGCTCTCAGGCCAAGGCGTCCCCTGGCTAAGCAGTCACGTGTTCGTCCCACCGGTGTTGTGATGCCTTCACGCTGGAGCCATTTCAGGACCATCGGCTTTTCGCGTCATGATACCAAAAAAAAAATCTCAATTGTTATTTATTTTCTTCTTCTATCGTTTGCATCGCTCAGTCGCGAGTCTATGCGAGAGACGATTTCTAAATGTCGGGGGAAAAACCGGAGACACATCCTCGCCACCGCAGGGACAGAGAGGACATTTCAACTCCAAATATGCGTAGAGGGATTCTTTTGGGTTAGATCGCGTAAAATGCGTGTCGCTAAATCCGCCACCACCCAAAGCAGCCAATTAGTGAGGTTTGTCGCGTAAACAAAACATAGCAATTCGTTACGAGTTCAGCACACCGGTGTGCTGAGGGGTAAACCCGCAACATTTACGATTCGACTACGACGTTTCGCCGGTTATTACAACCAGCATGATCAGGCGACAGCCAAAGTTGTTGACAAACCTTACGAATTAGCTGTGTGGGGTAGTTTAACGACGCATTTATATTTACGCGATCTAAGCCAAAACAACGTCTGTAATGGATAATATTGGTCGCGAAAGCCATCGTGTTAATCTGTCCAGGGCATCTGGGTCGGGATCGAACCTACGACCTTCTGTATACCAGGCGAGGTAGGTAACATCTCGCCGCCGGGAGGACATCAACGGCACTCCTTTTCAACTACCCCCGGAGCAGTCCACATGCGACTCTTCACGACTGTGAAACCTCGTGCCTTGCACCACTCTTCCCATTCGCCGTAAGAACGTCGGGAAAAAAAATCTAACGGCTTTCATTTATTTATGTGCTCTTAACTGCAACACTGTTTATCGTAGTGAACGGTTTACGATTTTTTTTAAAGTTGCCTCCGTTTGCCATCTGTGTAGGGACTGTTCTCCTCGATGCGTTCGTGTAGAATTGTAAATCTATTTTTGTAAAGTATTTTTTATTTAAGACAAAGTGGGTTTATGAAGAAACGGTGCGTAATGTGCAAAGTGCGAGTGGTTGTCCCGCGGTGAACTTGTGGAACGTCGAAGGGCCGACGTTGGCCTGACGTTGGAATGTTTACTTGGTCGATTTAAAAAATAAACTTATCACAAATAATAATAATAATAAAAGTACAGGCATTAATGATTGTTCCCGAGTGTTTCATTATCCCCCGAAATCCCACGCGTCACGGAGTCAAACCGTGTCACGTTATCCCCTCTGTGTGTGTGGGCGCGCGCGCTGTGGGGGAGCGGTGGCGCAGTGAAACCTGGCCACCCGAGTGACGAGAAGGCGCTAAACCGTTACCCTGGGCCTCCAACCTCGACCTTAAATCGAGCACCTGGATGCTATGTAAACCTACGTGCTTCGGAGACAAAGGTGGCTGGGCTCGGGTGAGCAACCTACCACTCCCTCGCGCGCCGTGGCGCCCGAAGGAGCACTTTGTCTCAGCAGCCCGTCAAAGAGTATCTACACGATACATGGGGTGGGGTGGGGGTGGGGGGGCCTTTGTCTTTGTGTTGTCGGCTCCTGCACTCAAGTCACTCGGTCACGCCCAAGACTCAACTCGGTGATGCAACATTTCGCTCCCGCAATTCGTATCTTTTGCTCCGAGCTCGGCTCCACGAACACACTCGCTCTGCGATGCGGGGGGGTGGCTGCGTGCACCTGCGCGTTGTTCAGGCACAGAGATGTCCGACGTTGACGCCGCACGTCGGCACGACCAGTAGAGATGGGGGGGGGGGGGGGGACAAAAACCCAACCACATCGGACATCGATGGCGGGCCTAGCCGGTGACCACCAACACGTGGCAGCCAGAGCCGGACACGTGGCAGCCAGCGTCGTCACCACGCATGCCGTCGGCCCTCGGCCATTTGATTTTGCCATCGTTTGGGCCGGATGCGGCACGCACGTTGTTATTTATTTATCTATCTTTGCTGAGCGGGTTCGTACGCCGGATTACGAAACGACGAAATTGAAAATATTTGAAGAGCGCTGGGGATTGTGGAAGTTGACGTCAAAAGGTATCGAAACTCCCTCGCTGCCCCACGGCGACGTGGCGCTCGCAGCTGCCCCCGTGTCCCCCTCCACTCACGAAAGGCGCGGCTGCCCTTTAAGCAAAGGAGCAGAGCCATGGAACTCGCATGTCATCTCGTCAAACGAGTTTACCTTCCTTTCTCTCTCGGCGCCAGGGACGTGAGCAATGTCACCTCCCCCCGCCACCCCCACGTCCCCCTCCCACCCCAAATCCCCCCCCCAAAATCTCCCCCCCCCCCTCACGCTCCCGTCGTCTCACCCTCCCTCCCTCTTGTGCTCATGTTCAGGGGGTGGATCGACAATCATCATAACAAGAAGGGAGTGTTTTTCTTTCTCGAATTCGGTAAAAAATAAAAAAAAACTCGCAATATTTCAAGAGCCGCCGCACAATCCAATGTGGCGAATACGAGATGGGTGGTGGTCACTTAATGAATAATTAAATAACTGTCTCACGAATCAGTTCCCTTAAAGAGCCGCACGCGGCGGCTCCGAAGCGGCAGGTTGCCGACCCCTTGGATCGATGGACGTTGAAGGACGCCGCCGTGAGGGCCTTGGCCAGGGTTAGGCCATTACGTCCTGGCATCACGGTTCAAATTTGACAAATTTGAAATACGCGCCCCGGTTAATGACTCAGGACCTGGAAATCGTCGACCCCGAATGGAAGGAAGAAAAAACGAGACAGGACTCTCCTGGGAGAACCATGAAAACAAAACTAAAACATTGTTTGTTATTTTACCAGGGTAAGGCCCGCTGAGCTATTTAGCTCTTTTCAGAAGCGGTCTGGCAATCACAAATTATAGCTCAACGAAGTGGCTCGTCATCGCGTGGACATTATAGCGGTAGCCAAATACGCACGTTGATTCTACACGTGGAAGGAAACACCTGGAGGACGAGGAGAAAAATCCACGCGACCACGGGGAGAACGACACCGCAAACTCCAAATATACAGCAGCAGGCGTCAGGGTCGGGATCGAACCCGCGACCTCCTGTATACCAAGCGAGGTAGTTAACATCTCGTCACCGCGAAGCCCCTCATACATAAGCGAGACTCAGCGGGGGCTATTCTCGGTTTCAAAGACCTTGTGGCGTAAATAAAGAAAACGTGCCCCGGTTAGCAACCAGAGTTCCAAACCCGAAGCCGACATCGTGGCGGGTGAAATCAGAACCGGTCCTGAGCCTCCCCCCTCGGTAGACTCGGCCTTAACTTAGTACCTGGTGCGGCGGGCACATTTCACCACTGGGGATACAAAGGCGAATAGTGGTGTTGGCGACCCACCCACTCACGTACCGTACAAGCCTTAATGGGTGCTCGCTAACAATACTGCGGTTTTTGAAAAGAGGCTACAATGGCGATCCTTATCTGTGTGTGTGAGTGTGTTTAGTGGGGTGCGTGTGTGTGTGTGTTTAGTAGGGTCCGTGTGTGTGTGTTTAGTGGGGTGCGTGGGGGGGCGGTGGCATAGCGGTTAGCGCGCTGCGCTACGAACCTGGCCACCCGAGTCCGATTCCCACTCACGGCCACCAACACCATTGACGATTATCTGAACCGGTCCTGGGCCTCCCGTCGGTCGACTCAACCTCAAATGAGTATGATAATTGTTTTTTTTACCTTTTTATCTAGGCAACGGAGGTTCCAATGGTGTCTCAAATGAGTACCTGGTGCGGTGTGTAAACATCACCACTAGAAAGACAAAGGCGGTCGGGCGTGGTGGTGTTGGCAACCCACCCACCCGCTCGTGTACCATGCCGGCCTTCATTAGGTGATCTCTAATAGCACTTGCCACAACAGTTTGTTACAGGCTTTACGGGGGATCTTTGTCTTTGTGTAAGTGTTTGGACGTTTAGGTAAACATGTTTGGTTGGGAGTGATAGCGTAGTGGTTATCAGGTGAGTTCAAGCCCAAGCAGTCTATGTAACCTACACGGGGGACCTTAGTCTTTTGTGTGGATTTTGGTATGTGTGGATTTTGGTATGTGTGTTTATTGAAGCGTGCGTGTGTGCATATCGCGGGGCATTCGTATGTATGCGTGTATGTTTGCATAGTGGTATGTATATGTGTGCGCATTGTGGGGTGTTTATGACAGCAGGGAGCATAGGTGGTGCATCTGCCAGTCATCTCAGTCAACCCATAACACCTGCGTCTGTCCCGTGATCTCGTGCGACAGGAAACTCCACTCGTGTTGGGCCCGACTTCAGTTCCCTGTCCCGGTTCACGTCAGTGGCGACGTTCTGAACCAATACTGGGCCTCCCGTAGGTCGACTCGGCCTCAAATTAGTACCTGGTGCAGTGCGTAAACATCAGCACTGGGGAGACAAAGGCGGCCGGAAATGGTTCTGATCACCACGTCCACTCCACCGGCCTTCACAGGTGCTCGATAACAACACTTTCGCCAATATTTCATGTCGGCTATATGGGGGATTTTTGTCTTTATTTGGTGAGAATGTTGACAGGTGTGAGTTGTTCTCAGAGTGCACGACAGCTGTGATGAGCCGAGTTCGACTCGTGGGGCTGCCCACTTGCATTCTAACCACCAGGAACAATAGGTACGAGGAGCCTAGCTTGGGCGTTGCTGAGGTTCACCGGCCATCATAGGGGTTCGCAAACAGAACTTGCCACGAATAATTTAACGCAGCTTAACAATTGTAGTGTGTTGTACCCAGCGCTGTCGTTCATGCAAATTGCATCTCACATTCGCTGA